AATTTTTCCTTCCTTTTAGAACTCCTTTCAAGATAATAATAAATATCAACAATTGTGTTCATCCACATTCATTGGTAAAGAAGTTGCCCCTTTTTCAGCTGCTAAATTTAAGAGGTGACAGGTGCACCTCATAATCTGAATTTTCCTTTCTTAAGATGCCTGCAACACCAGCCTTCCGAGCCTACAAATACTGGTGCATTATCGGCACCAAGTGCTAAGCAATTATCCAGAGTGCCTGCAGTTTTCTTTTAAAGTTTTAATAATTAGCTGTGCTATATTAAAGCCTGTCAAATGTCCTTCTAAAGTGGGAACATAAAGTAAACTGCACTCAATTTCTGAAGACTCTGGATCAAAAAAGAAACAACAATTGGATACAGTTTTGAATCGGTATTATTGCTTCCATCAGTAGAGAGGCAGACCGAAGCTGTTTTAATGCAATCAATAACTGAAGATTTATTTTTCAAAACCCATTTCTTTAACAAATTGCACCTGTTTTGGATTCTTGCACCTTGAGTATTTCTTAGCGATTTCACTATCGGGGAAACATTTTTCTAAATAAAGCTGCAGTGTGATCCGATGCATTCAGTGGCAGGTTGTGCTCCAGTAAAAAGGCAGAAGAACAGACATTCTGCATTAATCACTTTTTGGTCTTTTTTGTTTCCAAAGAAAATTTAATTTTTTCGTTTTTTTTTTCAAAACAACTCATGTTATCCTTGTGTTTTGTGTACGCAATGTTTGAGAACATCCGCCCTTCCAACCATACGGAAATCGAAAAATCGCAACGACAGGCGGTACACATCGCAAATTTATTACATTTCCTTGAGGAAATAATGGAAGGAAAGTCAACTGGTACGATTTTTGAAACGTAACGAGAGTATTTCACCTTTCTCGCAGACGTAACAAAAGATGATAATTTCTAAAACTATTTTCCTAAGGCACGTGTACTCACACAACTCAGGACAAAATGAACGAAATAACTAAAAAGAACGTCCAAATAACAACTTGCTTTGTCTTTATTGGCTAATATATGCCAGCTGACACGCAGTGGAGCTCGAAGCCCATTGGAGAACTGGAGAATGACGTTTCTGGATACGTATAATGCTCTCACTCACAAAGCAGAAGCTATCTGATTCGCAAGGTTTTGTTTTAGATATAATGTAGAGAAAATTCAATTGCTTTCAGACATCCCAAAGCACTTTTTTTATTCCTATAACAAAGTATTAAGCCAAGTTGCATAAAAATCGTGAGAAATATTAAGAATAAGAAAAAGTCGGGAGAAATATGTTGTAAATCGGGTTGGCGGGAGAGCGGTCGAAAATCGGGAGTCTCCAGCCTAAATCGAGAGAGTTGGCAACTCTGCAAGAGGAATCATTTCATGCTATGGAGAAAGATGAAATATGTTGGAGTTAGTTATTGCGACACAGGTGGAGTCATGTCCACATTTGAAAAGGAACCATAGCAGATTTACAATAGAAAGGGAGATGATAGGTCCAGGAACTTGCATCAAAAAAACAAAGGCTGTTCAAACTGATGTGAATACCAATTTAAAAGAGGGAAGAATGTAACTGTTCTGAGATCTAGTTTAAGATACAAAGAAACATAGGTTCACTCACGGGAAATTAAAACTTGCAGAAAGCAACTCAGTTTTCAGTGCGGAAGCAGCACCAAGGTAATCCAAGCTATTTACAATGACATCTTAGGAAGGAAATATTTTTTTAAGTGCATGTAAGCACTGATCAGTAGAAACGATGCACAACTGAAAATAAGTTTTAAACAAGTAAATGTCACTGCCTTTCTTATGGTACTTTATTTTAATAATGAATTTTATACAAATGAAATTTGAAGAAAACAGACTGGAACAGCATGGATCCACATAAGCATAGATTATATTTTTTTTTTCGTCTAAAGTAGAAGAATATACATTTTTTAGAAGCATATAGAAAGCAAAAGCAACAGATGCAGTATGAAAGTGTACATTAGCTATAAATAATGTCAGATATGCTGTGAAAATATAAAATTTATGTAGATATTAACCTATTTCCCAAAATAAAATAGGTTAATACACTAAAAACTATGCTTAAACATCACTAAGCTTGGAGCTTTTGCAGGAACCTTCTGCTCTTTCAGCTATAATTCAAACAAATGGCTCAAACAAGTTCCCTGCATTTTATTGTCATTTTATGCAGTCTTACTTCATGTTGGGTTGTATTTTCGAGAACAATGTCCAGATCTATGGCAGATTGAAAGGAACATACACACGGGGGCAAAATTAAAGTCATGAACAAACCTCGGTATAAAAGCAGCCATAAAATTATAGAAGACATAGAACTTGCCACATGGATCACTTTGAGAAACCTTTTTTTAAAATCTGCCATACATCTGAATGTTGATCCTAAAAAATACAGCAAAAGCTTAAATATCTGGCATTCAGTTCACCGGAAATCTCAAGTTATAAGAATATTTTAGAATTTTAGAAAGGAGTTCTCCTACTTTGAAAAGTAAATGAGTAAGTAAGTGAGAGTAAATGAGAGATGCGTAGTGCCATTTTACAGTTATACTGTTAGCTCGTACACATTGTCACTAAGCAGTGCGATTTAGTACCAATAATGGATAATTATGATGTCACAATATAATCATGAGAACTTCATCTTGGTTTTGTGGAAAACCAACTAATTCTTGATAAGTTGATTTAATTTTTCCATAGAAAGATATAAGCTCTGTTTTCCTCTTACAATTCAAAAAAGGAATTAATATCTGAGATTTGTCTATTACAGGACAGCCTCAAAACAAGGCAGAGATAGAGTTTTACTTAAATTTACAGATTACAAATATAGGATAATTAAATGATGATGCAGAATGAAAAATTCTTGCAAGTGATTTAAGTTTTTCATCGCCTATACCCGTAATATGTTTTTGTTATATAAATAAAAATCTATTTCATTAAACTTTTGCTGGAATCATTAGCACACGTTTGGCAACACCTCAACGAACTTTCATGCTTGGTGGGATTTCCTAACCTGACAAAATGATTTACTTTCATGTTTAAGGCCTATAAAATAGGTTAGCTTTTATATCTGAAATGCAATTTTTTTTCAAAATATTATATAACTTTAAATGTACGCTTTTGATATTCAGGTTAGTAACAAATAAGATGAATGATTTTTTTAAATTTTAGATCAGAAATTTCTTCCATTCATTTGGCCTTCTTAATGTGAATTTTTTTTGGTACTTTTCCATTTCGCCGGCGCAAATCTCGCCAAGCAGACTTTATTGGCGACAACATACAGTATACACATAAAAAATATTTGTTCTAAGAATTCTTTTTTTGAAGGCGTAAACATTTTAATATCGCTTAAAATTTTATAAAAAGCCATATAAATAAAGACAATAAATTTGTAAAAAGACATTAAGAATTTACTACGCTTTCATGGTTCAACATCCTGATTCGCTGGTTTATATCACGTGACCCCAAGTGCGATCTCATCTCACGTAAACTACTCTACAAAAATCTAATGCTCTCAGCAATTATCTACATTAATTTCAAGTTAAATCTTAATTTAGAACACAAGTTTAAATGCAAGAAATATTTCAATTCGTACGAATAGCTTACTCAGAAATTATTTAAAACTGCAGTGCTTTACTTCGCTAATTCATTCTCGTTAGAATTGATGAATTTAAACCTTGACTTTACCTTTTCTATATTTTCGGCTTCGGGTAAGCGCTGGTGGATTGCATCCTAATTGACTTAATTACCGAAAATGGCCTTAGACATAAAACTGAACTATCTGATAAAAATTCTATGTAATTATATGCCAGTATTGAAAGAAACAATCAATCTGATAAGAAAAAGCTGCGACTTGTTTTGAAAATGAGGCTTAAAAGGTTACCAGCGAGAATATTCCGTTTGGCATCGGTTGTACCATTATTGGCGACTTTATCGCTTGCGCCGGCAAAACGGAAAAGTACCTTTTTTTTTTTTAGACACTTAACTATCCAGAATTTTTATGTATCTGGCATTTGGCATCCATTGAGCTTTCTGGATAGCCAAGTTTTCACCGTACAGTACTCTACTCTTTAATTAATGGCAAAGTCAATTTTTTCTTCTTTAGGTTATGCTAGTTTTACTTTGATGCATCATTTGTTAACAAAATTATCAATGTTACAGCATTATTCAGATTGAATAATATGCACAATAGAAAAGAAAATAATTATTTCATTAACAGAAATTAACACAAAATATTGATTCTTTTATTAGCATACTGTAACAGCATTTGTATTATGTGCCCAAAATTTACAAATTCATATTCACATATGCTTAAATATGTAGCCAAACTTTCCTCCAATTCCTTCTCACCTTATATCAGGCTTTTATTCTCACCCCCCCCCCAAGATTTTTCAACAGTATTCCAGACATTGAAAATATAAACAGTATGAAATATTGAAAATGAAAGAAAATATTTTAGTATACTATAGACTTCAGTTTTATTTTGATTAAAAATTATACATCATTTTTATTAATAAACATATCAATTATTATTATATTGAGTAAATGAAAATGAAGTAATGCCTTTATAGACTTTGAGATGATGTTTAAATTTAACTACCTCAGCTTTTCTTGCCATGAGCCTTCTGTTGCAAGTTAGGTTAGGCTGTCTCAATATAGCAAAGCACATGGATGCTATCTGATCAAGGGAAGGATTTTCTTGGAGAAATTGGCTTACACTGGCATTAAACATGGGGAAAATCACAAAAAACACATAACTAGCCCATTCACCTTGGTGAAACCATTGGTATTCAGCAATTTTTAACGACTTAATTCACTAGTAGGGCACCCTTTTGTTGCCATTTGAAGTCAAATACCCTTTTCTCTAGAAAATGAAATACCCTCCCCTTGAATGAGGACGTCATCAGATTATATAAAATATTTTTCAAAATTATACATAAATAAAGGCTGAAATTTTTTTTTTTTTTTTTTAATTAACATATATAAGATTCCTTACCTTTGCTTTCTTTTTATAAGTTCACTCAGGGCTTCTTTCTCTTTTTTAAATAATAACTGATGCTTTGCTAAATTTTGGCCTTGAATGGTTCTCAGTTCTTCTTTACTTTTAAGTTGTGCTTCTAACTTTTTAACTTCACCTTCTTCTACTTCCAACTTCTGTTCATTTAGTTCAATCATTTTCGTATGCTCACTATATGTGAAAAAATAAAGCTTGTTAGTTTAAATAGTAGATTACTATCATTAAAGAAATGGCTGCCTAAAATGCGATTCTCAAAGTGTTAAGGGCAATTTACAGCTGTATTGAGCGACTGGCAACTACAATTTAGTTATTCTACTGAGTTTTTCCATTGCTCATATTTTATTTGTATTGTTTATAAAAATATTAAAAACAGATTAACTCCCATTTCTGGTCAGACTACTGATAGTAATCATTATAAAAAGAAATTTAATTTAATTTTCATCAGGTATAGAAAGAATAATCCAATTAAACTCAAAAATCACATCAACCAAACTAAATGGAAAATTTTTACTGTAAAGGGGGTAGTAAATTTTATTGTTTGGATTCAAGATTTTCCAAATGGAAAATCAAAATACTGTAAATTGAGGGAAGATGAAAATTAAGGCAAAAAACATGTCTACATATTATTATTAAGACGACTGGAGAAAGTTTTTTAAAAAAAAATTATGTTATTTCAATTTTACTTAATTTTTAGTACTTTGAACTATTAAAAAAATAAGTAAAAAAATTTTTCTAAATTTCTAAAATAAAAGAATTTAAAATATGCAGGTTTTTATTATATGCATTAATTTTATATATATATGTAATAACAAAATCACAAAGGAAAGGACGGAACACTGTAGATGCGAGATTAAACCCATATTGAAGAAAATTTTGATTGCGTAGTATGTTGATACTGTGTTGACTTCGTAAATAAAACTTGGCAGTAGAAGCGATTTTAATTCCATTTTTATTTCCAATTGACATATGTGGCCACAGATCACTTGGCACTCTAGTCGTGCCTTTCCACAGAAGATTTACATTTTAGATATTGTTGAGATAGAAAGCAAGCCAGCGAAATTACATGTTAGCAGTGCAGAGAGCAAAAGCTGAAGTGCGTAGTTATGAAGGATGGAAGCACGCGAAGAGGAAAGTTTTTGTTTGCAATTCGGTGATTGGTCGTCAAGAGGCATCTGGTATTAACAGTTACGTAAGATCGCATGATTAATTTGAATGACGCAATGCAGATAAGTTATTACGATTTTAGAATAGAGAGAAAGAATTAATGTTTATAGTTATATTATAATTCTGATTCATACATTTTTATCTTACATATATATATATATTAGGAGCTGCATGTCTCTATCACTTTAGAAATAACCATTTTACATTAAAACATTCAACAAAAAAGAATGACAAAGCTCATGCAAAATTTCCAAGGCTGGAAAGTGAAAGAAGAAGTATGAATAAGACACTATCCTTTTTCATTATAAATCTAATGAACCTTTCTTAAAAAGGCCATTTGAAAAGCCACCTTCAGTATGTAATGTATTGCAATTACAGCAATGAAATCAAATATTTCTTAAATGATAAATTCGAAGTTGGGAGTCTTAATATATTAAAGTTCAGCTGATATATGAATAGAAAAATATTACAGCTGAAATGAATACTAAAATTTCTTCTATCTAAATCCAAATTCTAAGAGATTATTGTTTTTATTAAAGCCTGCAAATAAAAAGAAAACCCTTTATTAAATTCTAAATATTTGTAACGTGCAGTTAATAAAAAAAAAATTAATATTAATTGTATCAAACTTGAATATGAAAACCAGGATTTTAAACCTTTAGTGAGCGGCCATTTGAAAGAACTCAAATGCTAATTCATCTACAGTCAAAAGTCGTTAATCCGGACTCGTCGGGACTTCGGCGATTCCGGATCATCGATTTTTCCGGATTATAGATCATCAGTTTAAATCTGGTAAGATGGCATGCAGAAATTATAAAATTAAAAATATGAAACCGTAATTTATGAAATAAAGAACAATTATGATCTAAAGGTTATCAAAATAAAAAAAAAAAAAAAAAAAAAAAAAAAAAAAAAGCAGCTTAATATTTATTTGTTTACTTTATTAAACATTTCTTTTAATGTAAGTTGTTTAAGTTGCTTCGTTTTTTATGTGATAATACATTCTCTTTAATTCTATAAACAGACATAATTTCTTGTTCAGTTATAAAGTTCCATTGTTCAAGTCCTGTAATTGCTGTGTCTACTGACTAATTTATGAATCGAAATTTTTCCGTTTTCAATAACCTCTGTCACTTTCTTCGCTATCGGAAGCGAATTATAATAACGAGGAATTTGATTTAAATCATATGAAAGACGGAGTACATCGAGATGAAATACTACATTTAATAAGGAATTATAAGCCAAATAAAATAAAAACATCTGCCCTGAAGATAAGGATAGTGCTGACAGATCAACTTCCAATTCATTGCGCGCACACCCCCCCCCCATAAAGAAAGCAGCACGAAAGTTTGATAAACAATTTCGGAAGTTTAGATAAATAAAGGATATGCCTTTATCCATTTTTTGCAGCAATTCCACTTTTTGTTTAATGAACTTCGAAACATACTTTCGCTTTGTAGATCCTTTACATATTAATAAATATATATTAGAAATTCTATTTCACATAATCGAAAGTTCAAGCTTACTTTTATAAAATTGCTCTAATAGTCTGCAAAAAATAATAAGCCGGATCCAATTTGAAGATTAAGGAACAACGCAATGTGCAACATTAACTGAAATAGATAATTTTAGCTTAGCTTATACTGTCCATTGTACATTAAACGCGCACTCGTAAACTATTTTGCATACGCGCACAAGCATATTCGCAGCCGTAAAAGGTCTTACGCGCATGCGTCAATGCGACGCATGCGCAGAAAGTTTGTAGCTTTGAGGTCCGGATTATAGATCATTCCGGATTATGGGTGTCCGAATTAACGACTTTTGACTGTATAACACATTATCCAGATTACTTAAGTATTTATAATATGATCTGATGTAAAATGCATTTACATTTAATTACATATTTTAAATCTTGTTAGGGAAAGAAAGCTTTTATTTATCAAATAACTTTAAAATATGATAAAAATAAAATGATTAATTAATATAGCATTGCAGGGATAAATTTGGTAATGTACCATATACTGATGTAAAGCAAAATTAAACACAAATCTTAATATTGAATAAACATTGGTTAAATCTTTGTAAAACGCTCTACAGATGTCTGCAGTAGATTAAAACAATTCAAATAAAATAAAATTTAATGAGCAAAATTATGCTGAAATTCAGTGGGGATGTGAGAATAGAATTTCTACAATTTTAGTTTAATTTATTGCTGGGAAACATTTTTCTCAGTAAGGGCTAAAATTTAAAATTATGAGTTTCAGTGATCTGAGATGTGATGAATATTCCACAGATAGCAGCTATGTGGTTTTTGAAAGCACATTCATATTTGTCTTAGAAGTTACAAAAGTATTTTAGTTAAAAAGGGTACTCTCTGATTATCCTTTATACATGACAAAAATCACTAGGATAAGTGCTATGTGGCTAAGTAGGCAACTCAAAATTAAAAAAAATATATTTATCTGTAAACTCCGTAATGGTTGTGTTTACATTGTGCCAGTGTGTAATGGAAGCTGTTTTGGAATTTGAGGGTCACGTTTGTGGTATCTACTTGATGTGATCAGAGTATAGTCTCCCCCCCTCCCAAATGTAAAGAATTGTAATGCCATTGTGGAGTTTTCATGCTAAAAAAAGAAAATGTTACATTTTTTTCAGAAATATGCCCCTTTGCCAAATAGAAGAGAGCATAGGAGTGCACATTCCATGAAGCTGCATTTTATAAATGATCAAATTGTATTGAAACGTGCTGTTAAAAATTGCCAGTAATGTGTTTGAATGATCTGAGGATAGCTGAATATCACTTACTACATCTGTTTGCTTCATTTACTGATGGTCCAAAGAATATAAATCTGGAAAACTATGTGAAGAACTTGATATGTCTCCAAATAAACTACTGATTGATGTAGTTCCCGGCAAAATGTATGCATACAAAGTATTGGAAAAGAAATAGTAGAAAAATTAGCAGCAGTGGATGCATTGTTGAAATAATACCTGAAAGTTTATTTACAAGATAAATGAATAATGCAGGTCATGTTCTTTCACAGTAGTGGATATTTGGAGAGCTTTAAACATTTCTACTTAAGTTTCCTGATCATAGAACAGTAGTGTTACTGAGTGAAATTGAAAAATATATTGCTGAAGGAACTACTATCTTTTCAGATTAAAAGATCTTTTCATTTCAGATTAAAAGATCTTTCTTAATTATATCTTTTCAGATTAGATTTTCAGTTGGAGAGACCATAGTACAGAAAAACTTAAGTCAACTGGTTATGATCTTAGGGAAGTAAATCATAAGTACAAATTTTTGGCGTGCACACAGAAATTGTAGAGATGTTTTGGGGAGTCATAAAGTGGAGAAATAAAAGGCAGGGAGAGGGGAGAGCCACACACCATCTTCCATGTTATCTTGGGAAATTCATTTGGAAAAAATCGTCAGGAAGAAAAGCAAACTGACTGCTTTGAAGAGATTTTAAAACAGGTAACTGAACAGTTCCAACCAGTTGTAAAAATAAAAATATTGTTGGGACTAATTATCATTACTTTTGTTTAGGTAATAAAATGACATATTTAGCTAGTTTTTATTTATCTCTGTTATATCATTATAGAAATCTTGCAGCTTAAATGGGGTTCATGAACTTTTCTTAGATGATTATGACAATGGCTTTCTGAATAAGTGCAATTTTCTGATTTTTTTTAAAAGTTAAAACAGATGAATATGTACATGGAGAGTAATGCGATGTTGCTCTGCAATGCTGAGAATTTTACAATTATCTGATGTTTTGTAAGTTAAAACAAGTCAATGTATACACTGAGAAATGTGGCAAATGGCTCACTGACATTGAGTCTTCTGTAATTCTCTGACCTTTGTTAAAGTTAAAACAGTCCACTGCGCACAAGGGCAGAAGACCAGCAAAGAAAGTCAAGAAGATAGTTAAGAGTTTAATTGTGGATGGTGTGATTTTAATTTAGTTAATTTGTTGCTGTTTTATGTAATTTTAAGTGTTTCATTTGTAAAACCCTGTATAGGGAAATGTAAAAACAAATGAATCCTGAATATCTTTAGAAAGCTGAAGCAAAGAAAATTTCTCCATTGTAGAAATATATACACAGGCTAAGAATATTCACACAGTCTTAGTCTATGCATATATTTAATAACATGAGAGCTTATGCCTTATGTCCAGACTATTAACTACCTTCAAAATACAATACTTACCACATCAAAAGAGCTCATCATAGCCAGCCATGTCTTAAAATCAACTTACCACATATATTTAAACTCTTCTTTCATGCTTTCTAAGACAGCAATTGAATTTTCAATGCTTTCTTGATATTCTTTGACAGACTGAAGACTGTTTTCCTTATCCTTTACTTCTATTTCCTTTTCTTTAATTTTATTATCTTCTGCTTTAATTTTTTCTTTCATTTTTTGAATGTCTGCTTGCAGTCGTTCAGGCGACTTAAGTATGAGCTGTTGAAACTCACTTAGTTTTTCTTTCGCAGTTACTATTTGAATATTTACATCATTCTGTAATACAAATATATATAAATTTTTCTTTTAAAAAAAGTATCTACTAAACAAATTAATTAGCTACGGCTTCGCATATGATTTTAAAACATTTTTACATTGGCTAAAAGTAATAATATTTTGCCCATACTCGAATTGTGCAGCGCTACTCTGCTATAGAATATGTTTAATAAAACATGTAACTCACTAGGGTTCCAAATTAGCTAATTTGCATTAAAAAAAATTATCTTTTACTTTTTAATGCACTTAACTGAAACTAGATACTTTAAAATGGTATTTATAGACATACCATTTTATATTTTTTTACACTGTAAATATAAAATATAGTAAAGTTATAAAGAAAATCATTGCCTCTGAATGCATGGAAATTATTACTGCTTCCCAATGCATGAATGAAATACATATAGCACAATTTTTCCCTAGGTTTTTCTATTCTATCTAGTGATATAAATTTATATTCATTTAAAATTTTTGTTTGAAAACTTGTAAATCATTTAGAAATCCCCAAAACCCTTCATTTGAAAGATTATTTTTTCATCTCTCTAATGAAGCAAAGGTAACATATTAAAAATTATTAGTTTGACTGTTAAGCAAATGTATGTGAAATATTTATTGTCATCACAAATATAAATGAGTGAAAATAAATAAATGAATAAATTTAAAAAAGGGGGAGATCTAGAGAAAGGGGGCTAAAAAGTTATGTTAATATTTGACTGAAATGTACACATATGTGTGTATGTAAATCAACAAATTCCTTCCACACAGTTCTTGAATAACATTATACATTAAAAATAAAAGAGAGACCAATTTTACCCACATAGTTATCCTTTAGACAAACAGTCTTCAGATGATTTTTAATAGCAGCACAGGCATTTAAAATGGTTTTAATGTGAATTAATATACAGTCGAATCCGGTTAATTGGCCCACCGGATAATCGGACCAGCCGCTTTTTTGGACCGAATCCTAAAAAACCGAAACAAATCCTATGTACATAAGCCTAATATTATTCACTTATTTGGACCAAAAAAACATGAGAGCGAATAAGAAACAGAAGCCATAAGTCGGCTGCGTACAACGGATGAACAGGTGGTCCGCGACATATAGAAGGATCTGTAGCTGCGCTCCCCAGGAGCTTTATCAACGGTCGGGAATTCTTTAAAGTGCATTACAAGAGCAAAACCAGCGAGAGGTGAACATGTGCACTATTTTCTTTGACCTTTCTTAAAACAGAGCCACCAGTAGCCATTAGCAAGTTATTGGTCCCACTGCCTCTCCGATTTCTGATGAAGTGAACAATAGAGTGTCCGGCTTCACCTGAAAGGAGTTTCCGCCTGTTAATCATGATTAAAGTTTACATGAGAAAGCTATCATTTCCCCACTCTTTTGGGATGATTTTACTGCCGAAGCTTTGAATGGTGAGCATTTTATCTCCCTCTTGACCCCGAAACACCAAGGTTTCTTCAGACCACTTTAGTCAGTGAACTGTGCTTGTGTCTTATCTCCCCTGCCAAAATGCTACGACGGGACTTGACGTTAGCTGAAAAAAATTGGTTTCCTGGATAAGATCAAGCAACAACCACGAAACACTAGTCAGCGCTGGTTGGTGGAAATTACCGGAAGGGCGAAATCTATCACTTTTATCAAGCGCGAAATTGGCAAAGACTACAATTTCCCGTTTGATAAAACAAGAGAATGAGCTGTGAGAAGAATGGGAACAATGTGAAAGACGAGGAGGAACTTTCAAAAAATGAAAGCATGAAATCAAGGATCCAGACGTCGATGAGACCCTTGATGAATAGTTTGCCATTGTTACTGGAAGAGCTGTGCGAGTAAGCGGCCCAGTGTTAAAATGCAAAGCAGAAGAACTCGCTAAAAAGCTGGGCCATGATGACTTTAAAGCTACAGACGGTTGGTTGTCTCAATAGAAATCTAGACATGACATAAAATTCAAGAAAGCACAAGGAGAGAAAGAAAGTGTTGATAGTGAAGATGCTGAAGAATGGAAATCAACAAAACTGCCCGAGCTTCTTGAAAATTTTTCAGCAGATGACATCTACAATGCTGATGAAACTGGGCTGTATTATCGTGCTATACTGGACAGCTCGTTAAGTTACAAACATGTTGCACTCTCTGGCTCCAAAAAAGTGATGGATCACGTAACTGTCTTGTGTTGCTCTAACATGTCATGAGCGGACAAGAGGAAGGTGTTGGTTATAGGAAAAAGCACAAAGCCTTGCTGATTTAAAGAACAGTTTACCAGTTGTGTATCGTGCGAACAGAAATGCGTGAATGACCTCTGAACTTTTTAAAGAATGGTTGAAGGACTGGGACAGAGAGCTACAATGCCAGTCAAGAAAAGTGTTGCTTCTTCTTGACAATTGTGGAGCACATCCTCATTTAGATTACTTGAAGAACAACCAACTGGAATTTCTACCTCACAAGACCACAGCTTTGGTCCAGCCAATGGACATGAGCATTACAAAAAAATTTGAAGACCTTTTACCATGCAAGGTTGGTTAATTACATCCTTGAAGCAATTGAAGAAAGTTTGCTGACCTCATCATCAAAAGCCAGCGAAGTCAGTGCAAAGGCAGCAAGCAGTTACATTTGTGGCCGACAGCTGACGAAAAGTGAACAGTGAGACAATTCAGAACTGTTTTTCTCACTGTGGCTTTAAGCACTTGGTTTTGGAGATGGATGTGGACATGCTCATTGAAAGTGAAAATGATGATGGACATGTGGAACTTCCACAGGTAAAAAATTTCAAACAATATTATGATGAAAATGAAGATTACGAAGCTGTGTTACGTAGAAAAAAAAATTTTTACTTTAAAAAACTGACTTTTTTTTGGTACCGTGACATAAAAAAAAAAAAAAAAAAAAAAAAAAAAAAAAAAAAAACTACTAAACTTTGCACTTACATAATCAAAACTTTTAAAATCTAAGAGACATCAAAGAAAGATATCTTTCCCCGGTGTTTTGAAGAGTTCTGTGTGGTATTGGAAATGTTAAAGGTTTAAGGCTATCTCTAGATTTGTATTGAAATTTCTGTGTTTTCAGGTGGGAGATATAAATTAGTTTTCATTTAATGAGAGATAGCGAGTTAAAGATTTTGTTGTGGAGGTGCATTTTCGAATTTCGTTTTTGTCAATTAATCTTAGTTTTTACCAAAACACCAGGGAGGATATCTTTCCTTGATGTCTCTTAGATTTAAAGGTTTTGATTATGTAAGTACAAAGTTTAGTAGTTTTTTTTTTTTTTTTTTTTTTTTTTTTGGGGGGGGGGGGTCGCGGCACCAAGCAGTCAGTTTAAAGTGTTAACAGTTAAAAGAAAATTTTAATAATATTTTTTTTTCTACTGTGGGAATTGTTATGGAAAATTCTTATGTATTTTTTGTTGTATATAATTATTGCATGTTATTTTACTGTGCATAATGTATTCTTAGTTATTATATTATTTTACTGTGTTTAATGAATTTGTATTGAGCTTATTTTAAATTAATGTATAATATTTAATATTGTTAAACCTGACGGCAAAGCTCCCCTAAGTTTGGCAGAATTTGTGTTACAGTTAAAAGGGCGCGGGTGTATTTCCATTTCTCATGAGTCGGCTTCTTTGGAGGTTAGAGGTCACTGTCCAGCTGCATTTTCCTCTTTTCGCGGGGGTTGAAAACACGTGTTTTTCTCGTTCTGAAGCGAATAGTTCTAAGGGCTGGTGATATTTTGACAGAGTTATAGGTTGGAAACATTCTTCTGTTGCATGGGAAAGAAAGGGTCTGTCATCTTGTAGAAAGTTCTGTATTTCTGAGAATTTTACATGCGATTTATTACTTTTTTTAATTGGCAAAAGGGAGTCCAAGTTTCCTTAAGATTGGCTAAATTTTTAATTTTAGCGTTTTTTGAGCCAATAGTAATTTTGAGGCGTTTCTTGGTGTGTGTAAACCGAGGTTACTTAAGCCGTTGCAAGGGGAAAGAAGGGAGATTTTTGTGAGTTTTGGTCCAGTTTGATAGTCTTTGAGAGGAGCGTTACCCGGCGACCGCGGTTACGGTTAATATTGCTGATCTCCATGGCATTGACAGCGGTGACCGGTCCCAGCTCGTCGCGGGCTTCTTGCGGTTAAATTTCGGCATAATTGGCAAAGGATCTGGAGCTAGGTTCAGTGTTTGAATCATGTCTCTGACGTTTTCAAGGGGTGGAAAGAAACTGCAGTTTTTTTGCTCGCGCTGAAGTTCCAGTTTGCTTTCGGAAAATAAGAAAAAAAGAGGGAAGTCGTCATCTCCTTCCGTTATCTTCAGAGGGTCTTCGAAATTGGGAAGTTGATTGAGTTAAAATGCTGCTTGACGGAGGTCACTGCTGGAACTGTGAAAAGGTCCGGTTCCTGAAAAGGATGAAGATTTGGCAGTTATTGTTTCGGCGATTTGTGAATGGTTCCGGGCAGCTTCCTGTGTCCTCGGATTTCGTGAGTGACTTTATATTTTCATTGGTGCTTTATTTTGATAATTAATCTTTTTAAATTTGGAAATGTTTAATACTAAAGCAAGAGCTGTCATGTTAAGTAGATAAAAAAATTGAATATTTTTACTATATTTTTTAGCTGAGAAGGTTTTTTTTTATTTAATGTTTAATAGTCAGAAGTTAATTGAAGTAATTGGAGGAAGTGAATCTTTGTTTTAATGTTTAAGTGCTATGTTCAATATGTTTTATTCTAAATTAGTTTTTTTTAAATGAGTTTAATCTTCTTGAGTTCCTGTTTAAAATGATTAAGAACTGTGACGTGTTTCACTATGATTTTTTGTATTAATGGATTAATGTTAAATATGAGATTGATATGAAAAAAAAAACTATGAGCAACTTTAAAAGATTTTGTAGGGATAGTCTGGCCAGCTAGCTTAAATTATGATGTGTGGGAATTTTCAATAAATGTGTTTATTATCTTTAATATTGTATGTTTCTTTTGTGTATTAATTGTGCTCTACTGTAGGTCACCCATGTGATCCTTACGGAAACATGGTTATTTAACCGAACCTGGGTATTCATATTGTGGTAGTAGAAAAATCAGTTTTAGTGTTGGTGACTATACGATCGGTTTACTGAATTTATTTTGATTTGAAGAGTAGACTTCTTAATTGGGAGATTGTATCTTTCCCCGGGGTTTTGAAGAGTTCTGTGTGGTATTTGAAATGTTAAAGGTTTAAGGCTATCTCTAGATTTAGTATTGAAATTCATGTGTTTTCAGGTTGGATATATAAATTAGTTTTCATTTAGTGAGAGATAGCGTGTTAGAGATTTTGTTGTGGAAGTGCTTTTCGAATTTTGTTTTTGTCAATTAATCATGATTCTACCAAAACACCAGGGAGGATATCTTTCTTTGATGTCTCTTAGATTTTAAAAGTTTTGATTATGTAAGTGCAAAGTTTAGTCGACAGCATCGGAATACCAAGAGAGTGATGATGATGATGTCACTAATAAGTTGGTGCAAGTGACAACACAAGATGTGAGGAAATGCATTGAAACTTTGCGTCGGTATTTCATGCAGGAGGGAAATGAAGGAAGTCCCATTGCTGCGTTAGCTGTTTGCGGCGATTTCATTAACGTGCAATCGGTGAACAGAACGCGTCAGATCACATAAGTTCTTCAAATGTTGACTGGAACTTGGTAAGAACTTGTTTTTATTGTGCTTCGCATGCTGAGTATTGTGGAGATCGTTTCTTAGAATTTGTTTTTAAATTAATTTTCTCAATGAAAAAATTTTGACTGTAGTTCTTGTTTGTACGTGTATGTTCACCATACGTGTGCACAATAAAGGTCATAATTACATTTTAGTACATGATTTACATGTACATTTACTCTTTGCTACATATAGCATGCCCCGTCTTACAACATAGGACATGTTCGTGTAATCAGACACACGATTAATTTTCACACATTAATTTTCTCAATGTAAATTAATTTTCTCAAAAAATTTTGACTGTAGTTCTTGTTTGTACGTGTATGTTCACCATACGTGTGTACTGCACAATAAAGGTCATAATTACATTTTAGTACATGATTTACATGTACATTTACTCTTTGCTACATATAGCATGCCCCGTCTTACAACATAGGACATGTTCGTGTAATCAGACCAGCCGGTTATTAGGACCAAAAGGATCGCTTCCCGATGTGGTCCGATTAACCGAAATCGACTGTATTCAGTTCTCATTACAGACCTTATTTTATTAATTACTGTCACTATAAGAAGTTTAAGAAGTAACAAATTTTTGACATACACAGGTTCCCCCACTTTAAAAAACAGAGCATTCCAGGGAAATCTTTCATATGCAGACATGACAGAATGCAAAGAAGCAATAATTATTAATTTACAAAAAAGTTTTAGAGCGCTTCTAGGTTTTTCAATCATATATTTCTTTTCATCTTTCTTTGTAAAAATGAGAAAGTTTTAATTTCTTTTGCAAGTTATAAAGGTATTAATTCAGGTCTTTCAGGAGACACTTATATATACAGGGTGATCTTTTTTAAAGTAACAGTGTTTGGAGCGCCCTGTAGCGCGATCTAATAGCCGAAATGGCACCAAACTTGCTATTTAGACTAATCAAGACATACAATCGTACAGTTAAATTATTAATGTTTATTTACTACATTAACTTCTCCGGTGAGGAATTAGACCACATTCAATGTGAGCACCGTTCTCAGATCTCAGAAATAACACTGTGCACAACGTTCTCCACATCCGTATGTAACATATCACGAGGAATATTCGGCACTGTCTTTGTTATGTTGTCCTTTGGAATACATAAATTTGATACTCCACCAACATAAACTTGAGATTTCAAATAACCCCAGAGCCAAAAATCGCATGACGTGAGGTCAGGGGAATGAGGCGGCCATACAACTGGAAAACTTACTTATGACTCTATCATCAGTGAAATTTTGGCGCAACAGCTGCTTTACCTTATTACTAATGTGTGGCGGAGCACCATCCTGCATAAAGATTGTCTGTTGGAGATGGTTTCTTTGCTGAAGTTGTGGAATAACAAACGTGCATTTATGGTGCACGTTTGAGGTCCTGTCGGAGTGATGGTCTCAAAAATGAATGGCCCAATTACGAATTCGGCTGTGAAACCACATCAAACAGTGACTTTTGGAGAATTTAATGGGATTTCGTGCACGGTGTGGGGCTGCTCAGAAGCTCAAATTCGGCTATTTTGTGTGTTTACAGACCCATTGAGATAAAAATGGCACTCATCTCCCCACATAATGTGCCATGGGAAAGCATTATCAATTTCTACCCTGGCAAGAAACGATAGAGCGAATGTCACTCACAAAATCCAATAACGTGCCGCAAAACTCTCCATATCGTGGAATAATTCATGTCCAATTGTCAAGCTACACCCCGGGCGCTGCTAGTACCAGCAATGGTTCTCTGCGATCCTTCGACAATTGCAGTTGCCACATCAGGTATTACATCTTCTGATACTGGTTTACGTCCTCCCAGCGCGAATGGTCAGTGACCCCATTTCCTCAAACTTTTTAATCATTTTCTTAAGACCATTCAGCGATAAAGGCCTCTTTCGTAAATTTTTTCTGGTTCGAAATTCCCGAAGAGCTGCGGATGCATTACATTGATTCATGTAATACAGCTTCACCAGTAACGCACGTTCCGGTAATGTAAGAGGCATGTCTACTGGAGCTCGTTTACTTCAGCTGAGATTATTTGTCGGAGCTGTCTACTACTTTCTTTTATAGCCCCTATTACTGCCGCTGTCAACGCGCAACATTTGCATTTTTCTTTGATACCTGTGTTTTATGCTAATTTTCGTTATTGTAAGCTACAGCAGCGCCACAAAACGCCCTAGCGGCGATTTTTGGAACTATTTTTTTTTTTTTTTCACAGAATCCTTTTTCCCATGTCTTGATTAGTCTAAACACCAAGTTTGGTGCCATTTCGACTATTAGATTGTGCCACAGGGCCCTCCAAACTCTGTCACTTTAAAAAAGATCACCCTGTACTTTCAAACATATTATATTTTGTAACCCCAAAATATTTTAAAAGTTGTCTTAAAATTTTAACAACCTTTAAGCAAAAAGAGAAAAATGCACAATTTTCCCTCAAATCACAGGAAAAAGATCATCATTATACACATAAAACGTGGTAACATTTTGCATATTGACAAAAAAAAAAAAAAAAAAAAAAAAAGATAACCATATATCAGCCATTTAATGACAAATCACTAAATTGGCATGATTTTTGGCATCTTCATGAAAAATAGATTTTATGTGTAGCATGGTAAAATAACATAAATGTTCATTAAAAATATGAAATTTTTTATAAAAGGCAGTAAAAATGATATGGACATCATTGTAATTAATAAAAAGATAATGTAAAACAGAGGCAGGTCTTAGAAATTCGTTCAGTTTTGAATAAAAAAAGAATAAAATTTTAGACTAAAAAAATATACTCACAATCTGCTTCCGAAGAGTGGCTTCCTTTTCTTTTAAAGATTGATATTCTGTTTGCTGTTCTATCTAAAAATAGCAAAAAGATAACATTTAAAAACCAGAATATATATTTTTTATACAGTTAGACTAAGAAGTCTTTTTGACCCAATTTGCTCTCTGTATTAGGAAGACAAATTTTATGATTATGAATTACTATTTTGGATTTTGAATTCATGCAATGAGCTTTCAGGGAACATAGCAATTTACAGAAATAAGCTCTATGCATACAGAATAGTTGGGAAAGTAGAGTTTAAAAACTACTGCAGTTAGGAACCTGTTTGTAAACTGCAAACCTGAACTGTAAATGTTAGCTCTTTTAATGCATGAACAGTGATCCCTTATTATTAGTGTCGAGAAAAACTGAAATAGTGCACTAAAATATTTCCCAATTTTTTCCCTTGAGGATAAAATTTTGCATAGTTTACAGTTTATTATTATTTTTGATAGAACATGCATTTGTTTATTGTTTCATATTTGTCTATACCTTTCATCTTAAGTTCCTGGCAGAACCCTATTGCTTTGTTTTCATAATTTTACTATTGTATGAATTTGTTTATTGTCTGACATCTGATCTTTGCTTGCTTCTTTACTTTAAGTCTTGTGGCAGAGCACTGGGATTTATCCATATTTGGGTAAAGAAAGCTGCAAGGTGAGTACGGATTTGCTCAATTTTGTGAATTCTATAACATATAATAGAGCCTGACAAAATAAATAGTGTTGCTGGTGTAGAATTATGGCCACAAGTCGTAACTGATGATAGATAGATATGAGCACTATGGTAGCTTATGTAGTAGTCATATCATGAAACACAGAAGGTTTTTGAAGTAGTAAATGAAATGAATACATGGATAAATGAATGGATGCCCAACGGAAAGTTACACAAAGACTTGGGGTGGGGAAGGGGAGAGGAAACAGCTCAATTAAATGTTTTTTCCTTCAACATGACCAATATATTACTATTTTTTATTGAATGTATATTTTAAACATTAAATTCAATTTGTACTCTCTAATAAATTATTTGTATCTATTTGAATTGCTATCATTTCAACTGAAATGATTCAAATTTTTCATGAATGGTTAATATTTTGTCATTCTGTATGACTTCTTAGCCTCATTATCCATAAAACGTTAGAAGAATCAACACCCATGCATAACATGAATTAGTGCATAAAGTGATGAAGATGATCAAGATAGGTTCCAAAATATTCTCCTCTTCTGTAGAAATGGACACCTCAGAGAATATGGCTATTTATAACATTTAATACTCTTGAAGGGCTAAGAAGCACTTCTGAAATTTATTCTTATAAAATGTTCGCCAGTTCAATAGAAGTTACATTTTTCAACTAATTCAGTCTTCAGAATTTTTCAACTAATTCAGGCCATGAATCTGAAATATGATTTTAAGAAACACAAGTCAAATGATTCCAAATCATTTCAGATAAATACAGTTGATGGGAAAGGGCAAGAGTTCATATTTTGGCAAAGAATTCAGAAACCAGAAGCATTACTAAAACACTCTGATGATTCAAAATTAACAATATATCTGATGAGATGATTGCAGAATCAGATTAAATAAGTCATCATCCGATATCTGGAAGCTGAGTTGGTGTTCAAGACTTCATTGAAAGAAAATCATTGGATGCTGGTAGGGTGAGAAAAACTGGTCACCAGACATCAGACCAAGTGCCTGATCAGTGATGAAACTATGAGGACTTGGTTTTGCCTCTTCTAGTACTTCTACCATACAAAGTGTGATTTCCAGCTTTTTAAAGGCAATTTAGTTCTTCTGCATTTGTTTGCCAGATTGATAAAATGTCTTTAATAAGGTTTTAAAGCTCAAAGTCTGTGAAGAATTCCTTGACAGCATCTAATGGTGACTAGTGGATCCAAATCTATTTGGGGGATCCCTTTACAGTACAAAGTCCGAGATCCAGACTCATCGGGACTTCTACAATTCCGGATTTTTCCAGATATTACATCATCTCTTTAAATCTAGTAAGATGGCATGTAGAAATTATAAAATTAAAATTAGCATTTATGATCATTTATGATCTAAAGGATATCAAAGTGTATACAAAAGGTTAATATTTATTTGTTTACTTTATTAAACATTTCTTTCAATGTAAGTTGTATAAGTTGCTTTTTTTACATCCTTGTACGAAGTAAAAAGGAAGTATTGTAATCGCGAAAAGTTTCAGGCAGCATATTTCAACGAAAATCCATTTTGACCGCTATCGAATGCAATTTAACGATGTTTTTGCGTGATATCTGCACGTAAGGACAGAATAAAATACTCTTTTGCTTCAAAAAAATTATGAAACTGCTTTAAAATTAATTCTGAAGAGAATTTTTCGTGGTGTCTGTACGAACGAATATACGTACGTATCTCACATAACTCAAAAATGAGTAGCCTCAGAAAGTTGAAATTTTGTATATAGGACTGGTATAACATGTGGATGTGCACCTCGTATTTTGGTTGCAATCGGCCGCACCAAACGTATATAAATATATTTATATATGTATCCACTCTGTTACCCGGCTCAGTGATATCAGTTTCTTTACTCTTATATGTTTGTAAATTGTACATTTTTTGCTTTAAAAATGATTGTATTATGATGTTTTTAATTTTCCGGTTAAGGTTTTTATGCCTTTAGTAAAACTGTATGCAATATTTTTGGAATTATCAACAATTTTAAAGTTGTCTAAGTGCCGCTAAGCCTTTTTTAATGGCGGCCATTGATGTTTACATTTGAAACAGGAAACTAGTGGATTTGTTGCCAATCTAGAGAAACTTAGCTTCGCAACAACAAAGATAACGCATTCATTTATTATTGCCAATTAAATCATGCTTAATTCTGGAATTTTTTCGAGGAAATAACTGTTTAAGATTTACTTCGTAATTTTTAATATAGATATTTTGAGTTTTTATGTATTTTTGCCTTCTCGCGAAGTGAGAACTGAATTAATTAAATGAGAAATACAATCAATCGTCTGTGAAAAACTGTTTCTTCTTTTTTGTTTTTGTTTGCTTAATTTTCTTTTATACACATTCTATTCTAGCTTTATTATAGTATTTGAATAGAACATGTAGCAACGATTAGATAATTCTATTCTTTAAATGATATAAATTTTGTGCATTAGGAGTTATGATATGAACAAAATATATAAGTTAACTGTTATATAATTATTGGATTATACAACAGTTAACTTAGTTTCCGTTATATAATTATTAATACTGTTAAGTGAATCTAGCGCCAGTGTCGCTATGGTAAACAAATACTAGAGTGAATTTTAAAGAATGCATTTATTCTATTGTGGTTTATGCGCTGTTCACGAAGTAGATTTAATTCAATCCAATAAGTTTAAATGAAAAAAAAAAAAAAAAAGCGTATAATTTAATATTCCAATACAAGGAAGTCATGTGGTGTACACATCAGATTTTTTTTTTTTTTTTTTTTTTTTGCTAATACTTTGTCTTTAATTCGGTAGACATACATAATTTCTTGTTGAGTTACAACAAACTTCCATTGTTTAAGTCCTGTAATTGCTGTGTCGAGAATTCTAACTTGTCAATTGAAATTTTTTTCATTTTCAGTAACCTCTCTGTCACTTTCTTTACTACCGGTAGCAGTATTTTCTGTATCTAGAACCATACTACAGATTTTGCCATTCGTTAATTGACTGATGATTGAGAAGCATTGTCATCACAATGAAAATTTTTTTTATATCATCTTCATTTATTACCACTTGTCCACATTTCTTTACAGAATCCGTTAATTGGAAAATTTCACCTTTGGTTTACGATATCCAAAAATTTTCAAATTTGCGGCTATCAACATAAAATTTAGCTATCATTCACTATACACATTTGGCTATGTATCATGAGATTGGCGACTAAAGACAAGTTGTTCGGCTAAATTTTATCTTGCTTCTATCGTGCACTGAGACAATTAACCCTGAGTTGTATTAGTTATTTATTATACTTATGTCTGTTCCTTGCACATGCTAAAGGCTGTGTCCTGAATAAATCTGTCACATCTGTCATCTGAGTCACATCCGAGTCCTGAATAAATAAATTCGCACATATACTTAAAGGCTTATTGATGGCCAACACTAAATATCTTACCGCCTGATACAGCCTCTGTGGGTTGTAAATTCTGCTACCAAGCACCTTCCTTTGTCTTCCTTTAATTCAACCGTCCGGAGCGGCTGCAGGAGCCCTTGCGCTTGTTCTGGCTTTATGTGAATTAAAAATCAGTTATTCTTAATTCAAACAGCACTATGAGTATCATCAAGAAAATTTATTTTTAGCATATAGAAAGAAGTGTTTGTTAAATATTTCCTCGTCAACATTTTTTAGTGTATTTAACTTAAAACATCACTAAGCATAATGTCAACATAAAAGGCTACCTACCATACTGTTTGTTATTCAATTACTAATATAAGAAAAATTATTTAGGCATTGCTACATGAGCTTAATACTGCATTATGATACTTAGTAAATTGCCATGTGTTGATAAATATGTGGTGATGAAAGCAAAATATAATAAATAATGATCTGCCAGGCTGGCATCAGGGGTATAAAATATTAGAAGGTGTAAAATCAAACATAGAATATTTCTGTTTGAGAGGTATGCCAAGCAGGTACGCAGCTATGGAGACAAATTATTAATCTCACAGATTTATGCTTACATGATTGTTTTTTCAATAACAAGGTATTTTATTTAGTGCCAAAGTGAAATTATGAATCGGGTCTTTCTGAATGTTTTATTATGCACGAGGGGGGATTAAATGCACAAGCATACAAAAAAAAAAAAAAAAAAGTTGCTGATGGCTTTTGAGGTCCGGATTTTAGGCCATTGCGAGCTTTCTACTGTATATGATTAGCAACACCTACAATTTTGCTATAGTGAAATTCAAGTCCTTTCCAGAAGGCTGTTCTCTAAGCTTTGAATACAATGAGTAGGCTTTTGAAAAAACCAAGTGGTCAGATTAACATCTGACACAAGCTTGCTTTTCCTTTTCAGGTAGCTTGCAATTATATGTCAGGTATCTTTGACCATATTTATAACCTTGTGGCTTGTTATTGCATCCTAACTCTCTGCGGCTGAATCCTTCAAACCACAAGCACATCAAAGAAGTTTTTTCAGATCTGTACTTCTTGATATTAATATTAGGCAAGGCTGATCACATTGACGTGAATCGGACAATTTTCTCTTCCATCTGTTACTGCAGATGTAAGTGCCATCAACTATTCAATAGCTTAGTATCTTCCCATTCATAATTTACAAACAGCATTTAGAATTACATTTGCTCTTGGAAAGTAAAAAGCGATTGTTTGCTCATACTGATATACTGCACTCATGCACATGACATTTTTACAAGTTTCTCATTTGTCTTATTTAGTCACTTTAGAAAATTTAATTTGCATAGTCATAAAAATTAAAGTTAAAAAAGTGTTGCTTTATTCTTGAAAAAAATTCAGTTTGTTACACCACAACCATATGTAGTATCATGAAAATCTTTTCATGTTTTTGGGTGCTTATGCATTGATCATGGAGAGTAAAAATAAAAAATATTTTGACCTACAAAAGCCTAAAGGTGACAAAGAAATTTGTAGAATACTATGTGGTGATGATGATGAAGATTGAGAAAAGAATTCTGAAGAATAATATGTGTCAGGAAGATTTTTTAACATGCCCGTAATACTTAGATTGAATGGTTAGTTTTATTACATAATAAGTACCAAATATCAGAGAAAACTGGGTTACAAACTGAGATGCTAAAAGTATAATAGAAACCAAAGCTGTAGAGTCGGAGTCATGGAGTCGGGCAGATTTTGGGGTAAAAGGAGGAGCTGGAGTCGCTAAAAACAGGTCGATTCTGACTCCAGTTTTTGTTGGACAGTTTGAATTTGAAATGAAATTAAAATGAATTGAAAAAAAGTAATGACAAGCTGAGTTATTATTTTTTATTTACGAACTGTATACATTAATAAATAGTTATTTTCTATTTTATTGACATATTAATAAATATAAGGATGGATGTGATATTTTCCGTTAGCAATTAAACTGGTTCATTTAGTTACAAATCTCACCAGTAAATTTAAGTAAGCAGCAAGAACTCCTAAAATTGATGCCATTCTTAGGAAGCCAGCAGGTAAAGGAGCAAATATTGATCAAGGAAGTACATATTTGATGATAAAGAGTTTTTAGAATTACGAACTTTTTAAGAAGAAGTAGATAATCCCAATGTTTCCTAACAGAAAGACTATGGAATGATCTTGCAGAATTGGAAACTCTTCTTTCTACACTGTATATAGCAAAAAAAAAAAAAAAAAAAAAAAAACTGCAATCTGAAGATTTGACAGAAGGCGAGAATGGAAGAATGGGATGTTTATTCTTTCTGAAATGGAAGGTTTATTGCAGAAGAATCATTTCTTCAATAAAGAAAAGAGAAACTAGTTTGCAAAATCTTGCTGGGTTCAATATATGCAGATCCGAAACACTGAATTTTCTTGGATGACGAACAAATTAAAAAGGCAAAGAAAGTCATCTATGAACTTTAAGTAAGAATGAAATTATTCTCAGAACAATTGCAGAATTCGAATCAGGACAGTAAAACTTCAGACATTGCAATTGAGTCTCTAGGAAAAGGAGATGAATGTCAAAACGAAATTAATAGCCCTTCTAGGCTAACACCCTTTGGACTAAAATAAATAAAGAAAGAAATAATAAAACTGCTTAAAATGTAGATCAGAGATATAGCTTCTTTAACTGAAAAAAAATTCATGTTTCGGCATATTTCTAGTGAAACTTTTACTGCTAAATGCCCACTATTTGAATAAAAGACACCTGATTCCTTTAAATCATTGCAAGTTTTAATGACAGATTAAAAAGAGCTATATCACTAATTAGCACAGACTTAAACTAAAAATTTTTAAAAAGAAGTTGACTTAAAAACAAACTTCAAATTTAAAAAAAAATTAAATAAATAAATGACAAAAATTAAGAAAAATACAATTTTTTATATAGCTTATTTAAAAGCATGCAAGAAACACAATTTAAATTTTATCTCCCGCTTTAAAAATCACATCTCTGCATTTATGCATTGTAAAACCTTTTAATTTTACATCTGCCTTAAGCAAATATGATACATTTCAAGAACAAAGTTAAAATTAAGATGGCATGACTTTCAAAGAATGCATTAGCTCTGTAATATGGTCACAGATGTAATTTAGAAAATAAATAATCAATAAAGGCATGAAATAATGCACACAATACCAGATATTGAATGTAATACACATTTCCTTAACAAACCAAAGTTGTATCAGAATGCACAGACATAAACCTGCACACGAAAAATGCAATACAGTCAAAAGTCGTTAATCCGGACTCATCGGGACATCGGCGATTCCGGATTATCGATTTTTCCGGATTATAGATCATCAGTTTAAATCTGGTAAGATGGCATGCAGAAATTATAAAATTAAAAATATGAAACCGTAATTTATGAAACAAAGAACAATTATGATCTAAAGGGTATCAAAATTTAACAAAAAAAAAAAAAAAAAAAAAAAAAGCAGCTTAATATTTATTTGTTTACTTTATTAAACATTTCTTTAATGTAAGTTGTTTAAGTTGCTTCGTTTTTTATGTGATAATACATTCTCTTTAATTCTATAAACAGACATAATTTCTTGTTCAGTTACAAAGTTCCATTGTTCAAGTCCTGTAATTGCTGTGTCAAGAATACCGACTAATTTGTCAATCGAAATTTTTTCGTTTTCAATAACCTCTGTCACTTTCTTCGCTATCGGAAGCGAATTATAATAACGAGGAATTTGATTTAAATCATATGAAAGACGGAGTACATCGAGATGAAATACTACATTTAATAAGGAATTATAAGCCAAATAAAATAAAAACATCTGCCCTGAAGATAAGGATAGTGCTGACAGATCAACTTCCAATTCATTGCACACCCTGGCATTAAAGATAAACAAAGTTTAGATAAATAAACGTTAAAGTTTAGATAAATAAAGGATATGCCTTTATCCATTTTTTGCAGCAATTCCACTTTTTGTTTAATGAACTTCGAAAAACATACTTTCGCTTTGTAGATCCATTTACATATTAATAAATATATATTCAGAAATTCTATTTCACATAATCGAAAGTTCAAGCTTACTTTTAATAAAATTGCTCTAATAGTGCGCAAAAAATAATAAGCCGGATCCAATTTGAAGATTAAGGAACAACGCAATCTGCAACATTAACTGAAATAGATAATTAAATAATTTTAGCTTAGCTTACACCGTCCGTTATACATTAAACGGCACAAGCATATTCTCAGCCGTTAAAGGCCTTACGCGCATGTGTCAACGCGACGCATGGGCAGAAAGTTTGAAGCTTTGAGGTCCGGATTATAGATCATTCCGGATTATGGGTGTCCGAATTAACGACTTTTGACTGTATAAGATTACACTGCAATACATCAAATTAAGCAATTTAATAAGAAGTATACTTACACCCTGTTTTCTCATTTCTTCCACTTTTTCACTTTTTGAGGCTAAAATGTCCATAAGCTATTTCAAATTAGAAAAACTTTTTAAATAACAGCATTTATGTTATATAGCAAATGCATGTTACACAACTTAAATTGAAAATACTATCTTTGCAAAAAATTATAACTACAGTGGAATCACATTTTTATAAACTTTCAATTTATGAGTTGCTTCTTTTCATGAATTATTGCTTTAGTCCCCAAAAGTATAATTAGAACAGTTGTCTGAAACTGATGTCTAACCCCCCCCACACACACACAAAGCAATTTTACACAGCCCTCAAATACATTTCAATTAACATTTGGTGTTTATACGTTTAGAGCAATGATTCTCAACCAATGTGCTGCAAGATTCTTGTAGTGTGCCCTCAAATTTTACAAATGCATACAATAAAGATTAATTTGGATTAATCTTAAATACGATTATCTGGGAATGACATAAAAAGCTTTTGAGCTTGTTATTATATTGTTTACATATTTCTTTTATATATATATATAATGGCCGGGTGCTTTATTTAATAACCATTAGCCTTGCGCCACTACAAGTGCCAGAAGTGGTGGCCATTTCATTATGGAAGCACTTAACAGGTGGCCACTGTTGCCTTCTATAAAGGGACGGACAGTTACAACTATGTCTTCTCTGGGATTCGAGCCTGGGCCCCTCGCTACAAGAGTCAGTGTCACTAATACCTATACCGGCTGGGTGGCATATATTCCACATCTTATTTGTGCTGAATTGAGATTTTCGGCTCTGGCTGCTATTAAAAAACTATACCGTTAAATCTGAATCCCGAAATGGGAGCAGCACTATCATTTTTATGCCCAAATATAAATGTAGTTATGAAAGAAACACTAATCTCGAATTTCACATTAACACTAACCGATCGATCGCCTTTCCATTGGCAATGCCTACCAACCGATCACCTATTAATTGGCTTTTTTTGCCAGCGCCTATCAACTGGTAGCCTAATAATCTTTTTTTTTTTTTTGTTTTTTTTGTTTTTTTTGTTAACGCCTACCAACCGATAGCCTATTAATCCCCTTTTTCTCGGGGCTACCTAAAAATTGCCTATCAATCAGTAACCATGGCAATAAATAATTGCCATTTGCTACATCATCTGCATTTTATTATTAGTATTGAGGTACATTGCTTCATAAACTCCCACATCTTCCAAACCGCTTTTTAAAAATTTGCCGTTCACCATGAGCACACACACACACACACACACACAAAAAAAAAAAAAAAAAGGTGCTGGAGAGTTTTTAGACGATTTATCAGATTATCCTGACAGTTATTTAGGAAGTGATAGTGGTGACGAAAGTGATAGCAGCAAGAAGCTGCGGCTGAGCGGCCGTGCGTTTGCTGTTGAACCGCTAGTGATCGATAAAGTGTTAAATGTAATCTGTAATTTATCATCAAATGGAGGTTTGTAATATATCATCAAATGAACATTTTATTTACTTTGTAATGCAATTTTATGTCATACTTCATTTTAAAATTATTATCACATGCTGTGTTTGCAAAATACATTATAGGTGTACATCAATCAAACAAGCACAATTCTTTTAAATTTATGTTGTTCATGTGTCACCGAATTTTTAAACTATTAAAAGTATACCGGAACAAAAAAGAGGTTGAAAGTCACTGGCTTAAAGATATGGACAAAGCTTATGTACACAACTGCTGCTGAAGTTAAAAAAGAATGAATTAGCTGAGTTTTTGTCACTGTCTGTTTGTATGATGGGCTACATGACTAGGATAAGGTAAGAGAACTCATCATGATAATCAGTCAGTTAATTAGCCAACTGGCAGCTGATGCCACTTCAATATTCTCTCCTCCGATTCAGTTGGAATTTCTGAAATATACTTTCCTTGAGCAAGTCACTAACTGGTCAGCCGGATGGATAACTACACAGCTCACACTGCTATACAGATGAAAATAAACTAACACATGTCTTATCCCATTTATTTGGGTTTATTGTTAGATATACATCATATAAATACTTATTATAATTGCTCATAACTTTTGAATATTGCTCGTGTACTGATTAAATGGTGAAATATCTATATATGTATGAGTATAATATCTATATATATAGTACACATGTCTAATATAAAATATATGAACTTCAAAATTACCAACTTTAATTTGGCTAAATTCCCCTACCATCTTAAAAATGCTAATATATATGAAAATAAAGTGTCTCATCTAAAAATTAATTCATTTTGTGTTTACTAATTATGCTGCAATGCAGCAAACTCTCAGCCAATCACATTACAGAATTTTTGTCTATAAATACAAATGCTACAGTTGCAAAGGCCCCCTTTTCTCCCCTTCGTTTGTTGCCGGCAACACGTGCTTCTCACTATGCTTTATTTACTGTTTCAAGATACGTAAGACACGAAATTATCGAATGCAACTTGCATCCAAAATGAAGTGTGATATAGAATGTATAAAGAAAAATTAAGTGTCAAGAAATAAATCATGTGTTATAAATTTCCGCCACGACTCCTGGTTTCCCTTTGTTATGCACTTCACGTAACTATGTAGTAAAGACTCTCAGATTTGTTAGGATGCAAAGAACTATCGCCAATCTATTGCAGCTATTCTCCAAATCATAATGTTACATATATACAAAGATCTGGACTTGTCGGGACATTGGAGATTCTGGATTTGGGATTTTTCTAGATATTAGATCGTTAGTTTAAATCTAATATGATGATGTGTAGAAACTACAAAATTCAAATACGGAATAGTGGTTTATGAATAATAAAACATTTATGACCTTAAGGGAATTAGAATTCAGAAAAATACCTCAATATTTATTTGTTTGCTTTCTTAACCCTTTCTTCAATGTAAACAGTAAAGTTCTTTTGCTTTTCATGCTAATACTTTAATTACATACATAGACATAATTTCTTGTTCAGCTCCATTGTCCAAATCCTGCAATGGCCATGCCAAAAATTTCCATTAATATGTCAATTGAAACTTTTCGTTCTCAGCAACCATCTCTGTCACTTTCTTTACTATCGATAATAATATTTTCTAGATTTAGAAACCATACTACAGCTATTGCAGTCTGTAATTGATTAATAATTGGGGCATTGCCATCACAGATTAAAAACACCTGTTATATCATCTTCATTTATTATCATTTCTCCACTTTTCTTAACAAATTCTATTAATTGGAAAATTTCACTTTTTGTGCGATATCTGAAAACCTTCAAATTTGTGGCTGTCCTCATGAAGCTTAGCTAACATCTGCTATACACTATGTCAATGTGTATAGCAGATGTTATGTAGTTTCTACACATCATCATATTAGATTTAAACTAACGATCTAATATCTAGAAAAATCCCAAATCCAGAATCTCCAATGTCCCGACAAGTCCAGATCTTTGTATATATGTAACATTATGATTTGGAGAATAGCTGCAATAGATTGGCGATAGTTCTTTGCATCCTAACAAATCTGAGAGTCTTTACTACATAGTTACGTGAAGTGCATAACAAAGGGAAACCAGGAGTCGTGGCGGAAATTTATAACACATGATTTATTTCTTGACACTTAATTTTTCTTTATACATTCTATATCACACTTCATTTTGGATGCAAGTTGCATTCGATAATTTCGTGTCTTACGTATCTTGAAACAGTAAATAAAGCAAAGTGAGAAGCACGTGTTGCCGGCAACAAACATGGTGTATAGCAGATGTCAATGTAACATGGGATTAGTTTAGCTATTTATTATACTTACATTTACTTCCCACACATGCTTAAGGCTTATCCATTAGACAATTTGCAGACCAGTGCAATCTCTGCAGGTCCTAAATCCTGCTGCTAAGTGCCTCCCTAAATTCTAGAAGTTATGCTGCCTCTAAATTTTGCATCACAGTGCCTTCCTTAAACCCTAAAAATTTTGTTGCTTGGTGCTTCTCTAAATTCTAAAAATTCTGCCTTACCTAAATTCTATCGCTCAGTGTGGCCACACACGAGCTCTGGCACTGATCCTCGGCTTATCTGAATAACAAATCAGTTAGTCTGAATTCTAATAGCACACATATTTTTGGGCTTGAGTATCATTTACAAAATCTATCTTTTGCATATGGAAAGAAATCTGTTAAATTTTTTCTCATCAGCATATTTACCACTTCACAATGTGGTTAGCTGAAGAATGTAATAACTGCTAAGCATAATGTCAACATAAAAAGTTTCCATGTATTTTGATATTCAGTTACTCATGTTTTTAAAAAATTTAGAAATTGCTGTGCAAGTCATTTCTCAAGCTGCCATGTGCTGACAGTTATTTGGTGATGAAAGCAAAAAATAATGATTTTGTAAGGCATTTATGTTAACTAACCAGTTATTTTATGTTACGAATCTTTAATCTCCGTTTCCGTTCTCCTACCAGAATGCAAGTTTTAGCTTTCATGCATTTAAGTGAGGATTTTAGACTCCTGTAGCCCGAGCATGTTCTGCCAGCTGAAGGTCACATTACTATTTGATATTCTATGACAGCATTCCTGTCTACTGCATTGTTTTATACTTGTAGATAGTGCTATCATGTTACTGTAGGATAGAGCCAACTTGTTTGCTTAAATTTCTCTCTATAGCCTTGGCTAACTAAGATTTTTAATTTAAAATTCTACTTTTTGATTTCTCGCCTAAAAGGGTCTTTTACACCCTTAATATGTTTAAATTTTGTTTACCTTAACAAGTCGCTTAGCTTTACATCAGAGTCTTGACTTAGTGTAGGTTACTAAAATAAGTGAGACTTTACAGTTCATTAGGTTAGTGTTAGGGATATAATTATTTAGTACGAGTACAACAATGTTTTGATATGGAATGCTTCAATTTGAGGTGCATGTTAAGCTGAAAGGCGGCTACAGAGCCAAATTACTGATCAATACGGTTTTATGCTAATAGATGACTGTTTATGGAGAATCAGGACTCACTATATGTTGTATTAAAAAAAAATCCAATGCGCATAAGTAAAGCTTAAAAAAAAAAAAAAAAAAAAAAAAAGGTTGCTGGTTATCAAGAGGTCGGAATTTTAGATAATTCCAGATATTGGACGTGGCAAATTTTTTAATAAGTCTGAAATTTTCTTCTATTTATTTTCATAATAAAATTCTAAATTTGTGTTTTTGATTTATTCAGCTAAATAAAATGACATTTTCAGAACTGTATATCTTTCTTATTTCATCCTAGTAAACCTTTTTTTTATATGCACATTGTCTCCAAATTTAAATTTTGACAGTATAAGTAATATGATAATTCCATACTCAATACTTCTTCAAGCATATAATTATTCAAATGCCAGAGTACAATAAATATTATTCAATGATCATGAATTTTGGAAAAACTTCCTAATGCACTTATAAAGTTTTGAAACAGTGACAGGTTTTGAAACAGTGATATTTAAAATGTATATATAGACATTTTAAAGATATTTATCTTCCCTAAGAAACTCAAAAACTATTTTCTGAACTTGTAATGCTAAGTGTTAATCAAAAGATTCAGATCACTGTATTTCATTTCCTGCTTAATAAAAGAGATCAGTATCTTTTATGAAATTCATACTCATAAATTTATATGTGTGCAAGCCAATTTTGTTATCAATTATGCATTTCTCTTAACAGCCAAACTAATGTACTAATGTAAGTTTCAGATATTGTAAAAGTTAAATGCATGGAAGATATGTTAAACAACTTAGAAAATTTAAACTTCAATAGGATTTTGTAGGTTGCATTATTTTTTAAGCCAAATAAGAATTGATTTTTTTGAAATTAAAAAAAAAAGTCTTAATAATTACATTTTTGAATTTTTTCATTTAATTCTAGACACTGGCTGGCTTGTAAGACAGCCTCACATTTATGATGACATTAAACCAGTTTTATAAAAGAACTTGCTTACGAAACATCATCATATAAATGAACTTGATACGTTCAAGGTTCACAAGAAAGAAACTTAAATTTCCTAAATATAATATTTTGGTAGTAAATTAAATAACTAAATTAATTACATAAACAAAATATGTTTTCTTTTAAAGCCAAATTTGAAACATATGACACTTTACCTTAACACATTTTTTACACATCAAGCATTACATACAAATTAAATACAATTTTCAGCAAACATTTTTAGAACAAAAAATAGTTGTACAAATATGGCACCTTTTTCCCATTAATACCAAATATTTAATAAAATTATACAACTTTATCATACATTCCAGGACTTACAACTGGGAATTTCCACAGTAAACTATGAACTGCATAAGTTATATACAGTGGTTTCAAATTAAAACTGAATATGGGCAGCATACACAAAATGAGAAGAGATTATAGGCCAATTTTTTTAAAATGAAACATTGTAACAAAACAAAAAGTATTTTGAATAAATTTTAAATTTTGCTTCCTAATTATTTATGAAAAGATAATATAAATAACAATAATATCATTAAGGGAAAAAATTGAAATTTCTATTTATTTTGTACCTGAAATCTAAAGTTTGGACTGCAAGAGATTTTCGTTGGCCATACTTTGTAATTCAAGTATACTGACAGCTAAATTTTTAATCCTTAGATGGGCATTTCTTTCATATAATTCTAACAGGTTTAATTAATCATTAAGTACTCATAATTTACTTTTATTTAAACTAAAAATAAACATTGTGAAAACTTTTTGAAGTGAAACAAAACTTGAGAATAAATAATGACAACTTGTTTTTTCCTTCCTTGTATGAAGTAAAAAGGAAGTATTGTAATCCTTTTCCCAGCATATTTCAATGAAAATTCCATTTGACCGCTTCGGATTTAACGATTTTTTGCGTGAATCTCTACTAAGAAAAGAATAACAGACTCATTTCCTAAAAAAAAAAAAAATTATAAAACTACTTTAAATTATTCTGAGAATTTTTCGTGGCATTTACGCTGTGTGTATATGTAACAATGCGTATGTATGTATTTGCATACCAAAATGAGGCCTCAGAACTTTGAAATTTTATATATAGGACTCTAAACTGTAGACCCACCTCGTATTGTGGTTGCATCGGCCAACACCAGACATATATAAATATATTAATATATATCCCTCTCTGTTACCCGGCTCAGTATATATCAGTTTCTTACTCTTATATGTTTGTAATTGTACATTTTTTTGCTTTAAAAATGATTGAATTATCTTGTTTTATCTTTGGGTTTAGGTTTTTACTTAGTAAATCTGTATGCAATATTTTTAGAATTATACAATTTAAAGTTTGTGAAGTGCCGCTAAGCCTTTTTTATGTTGGCCATTGATTGTTTACATTTGAAATAGGGACTAGGATTTGTTGCCAATTTAGAGACTTGCTTCGCAACAACAACATAACCCTTCATTTATTATTGCGAATTAAATCATGCTTATCCTTCTGGATTTTTCAAGGAAATAGCGTTTAAGATTTACCTTCGTAATTTTTAATATAGAATTTGAGTTCTTAACTTTTTTTCTTTCGCTAAGTGAGATCTGACTTCATTAAACGAGAAATACTCATGATCTGTGAAAAAAAGTTTCTTTTTGTTTTGTTTGCTTAATTTCTTTTATACATGATCTAGCTTTATATAGTATTTGAAGAACAGTGGCAAGACGAGATAATCTATTCTTTAAACGATATAAATTTGTGATTTGAGTTATAATAGAACGAAATAAATACTGTTAGTGAATCTACGCCAGAGTGTGTTCTATGGTACAAATCTAGAGTAAATTTAAAGAATGCTTTATTCCATGTGGTTATGCGCCGGCGAAGAGATTTAATCAGTCAATAAGTTAAAAATGAAAGATAAAATGTTATATTTATATCTGTACAAGGAAGTCATGTGGTGTACACATCAGATTTTTTTCTTATTTATTAAATTCTTCTTTGACGCATAAATAGAAATATATATATTTGTACATAAAAAATTATAAACATCTTTATTTCTTACTATAGCTTGACACATGATGGCATTTAAATTCTACAAAGTTTGTAACCTTGGAGAAAAATTGCAGAAAATTATCTTCATCGTGGATCGTGGATCATCTGTCAATCGGGTTCTCCTCTTATGAATTTTGAATTGTGAAAAAAGCTCTTCCCATATAAATATATTCCCAAACAAAATGATTAGTCTTAGCATAAAATTTTGTAACTCATTTATTTTTTGACAAGTATGAATAAAAGTTAATGAAATCTTTATCTTCAACTATATCGCACTGTAAATTAACACCATTTATAGATTTTCTAGCTCGCTATCCATGTTCGCTTTTAATGGAAATTAAATAATATAAACTCGGACCTTCTCTGAAATCTTTGGAACAAACATGTTTGAAATACAAAATTAATTTGTGGACTGCAGGCAGCCTGCTTGTTTGAGACCATTCTGTTATAATATTGTGTATTAATCAATACCGGCAAGCAATATAAAATTTCTTATACTTAGAAATATAGTTAATATCTTAAATTTAAAAATCAAACCTTTTACACATACTCATAAGTTTAAATAATATATCAAAATTTCATTAAGAAAAAAGATAAATACCTCTTTTTTGTCAGGCTCTTCAGCTTTCAATTGCTCAAGTAGCTCATTATATTGTTCATCGAGCAGCTTATTTTCTGAAATTAAATTATTCACTTTTTGTTGCTCAGTTTGCTGGAAGAAAGATAAATATCAAAATATAGCCTTATTTACATGATAATTAAAATTGACTACAAGAAAGCCTACCTGTACTTTCTGTAATGCATTATTTCACAAATAACTATATAACATGAAAAATTAACTTTCCAGTCTGCTATGAACTTTCACAAATGTTCAGTGTAGCCATATTTGACACACCAGGAGTCTGCATGATTTTAGTTTTTGCCACATCTGCATTAGCAGAGCCTAATCAATTAAATTTTATTTTTCAAATATTTTCAAAAAGAAAAATTACAAGGAGTAAGTTTGATCTGAAGGGGGTAAGAACATTAATGAGATATGATTTGAACCAGCATGGCTGATACAAAAGATGCTGGTTTGGGTAATTCTTTACACATCTATGCCAGTGTGTGTGTAAGACGGAGTCATCTTACTGCAGAATGAAGTCAAGTAACTCTTCTCTTAACTGGGATAGCATGTCAAGGTAGGTGACCTCTGGGGTTCTGAAAAAACAAAAGGCTTAAATATCAGGTTTTAAAGAAAGTTTCCCGCCACCGCAAATATCATCTATGCAAATGCCCACGTTGCTGTGTTTAATCATATTTTGTCAAATGATTTTTTTTTTTTTTTCACTAGAAACAAAGAGACTTGTTTTAGAAAACTGTGTTGCGAAATTTGTAAAAAAAAAAAAAAAAAAAAATCGCTATCATTAAGTACAAGATGTCTGAAATGGAACTATTATACTACCAGATTAGAACCATCATTTACATCCAGTTCTGTTGCAAAAAGTCAACAACAGAATGTCACCAAATCATGTGTACACCTTTTATGTACTAATATGGTATCATATAACATTGTGAAGGTTTGGTACCAAAAGTTCAAAAACAAGGATTATGACATTCAAGAAGCAGCATGCTCTAGCCGGCCTACTAATGTTGATGAGGTCTGCCTGCAAGAACTTGTTTAAGAAGATCAGCATGTTAACCACTCGAAACATTGCTAAGCAGTTAGACATCAATGCCATGCCCATTAGTTGCACCAGGCATCGCATAAACTTGAATGCAAGTTCAATCGCTGGGTGCCGCATGAGCTGATAAAGCAGATTAGGACAGACGTGTCCGGGCCTGCACTTGAATGTCAACGCAAGGACATGATTCTGGATTGGATTGTCACTTGTGATGAAAAGTTGGTTTACTTCAACAATACAGGCCGAAAAGGGGGTTAGTCTGTGATCGGTGATCCCGTCGGCAGCATCACAAAGTTCAATTTGACTAACATAAAAGATCATGCTTTGTATCTGGTGTGACTGCAGTGGTATTATCCACGAAGAGTATCTAGAAAAGGTAAAATCCTCGACAGTAAGGTGTACAAGTGAGATGCTAGCCCATGTTGACACTACTATCAAAGAAAAAATTCGAACTGAGTTTCTGCACAAAAAGGCAATGTTCCTTCAGGATAATGCATTCACAGTTTGGGCTCTTTACAGACATAAACAGCATTGTTTGCCGCACTCACTATATAGCCCCTACATGACGTCTTCAGACTTCTACCTTTTTCTCACACCTGTTGCTACATCTTGGGTGCCATCTTCCATTCTGCACAGGACATTTGAAATGAGGTTGATTTGTTTTTGAACTCAGGTCCACCAGGTTTCTGGACTGAAGGCTTTGAAAAACTACCAAAACAGTGGCAGAAAATCATAGATTTGGGGGGTGATTACTACCCGCACTAAAGATACTGCTTTCATGTTTTTTCCTAATTTTACTAAGAACTTTTTTTGGCGGAAAATTTTCACTACAACCAGATACATTAGGCCTGATTATAAACAACAGAAGTATTATCTTTTCCAACAAGTTCTGTTGTAACATGTGGATCTCCCATACTCCAAAATCTCAAAATATGTCTCCTTATTTTGCCACATAAGTAACATACGACTTCATTAGTGAGCATGAATCTGTCCAAGAAACTATTCCCCATCACCAATTGAAGCAGAATTCTCTCTACTTTGGTTTGTTGGCAGTTTTTAGTGTCTGAACCATTTGGAATTCAACACAGTCTGAAAAATATCAGATTCAGACAAATATGGTACCTTTTTCCCATTAATGCTAAGTATTAAGGAAAATTATATAACTTCATTATACATTCCATGACTTAAAAGAGGATTTCTGCACCAAAGTATTAACTGCATAAGTTAAAACATTGTATATTTACCAGTACTCAAAAGCAATATGTAACACATGCATGTTGCTTGCAACACATTAATTTGTCTGTTGTTCATGAGATATGCTAATTTTCTAAGACTTCAAAAAGCTACAGATGGCTACCTGAAACTTTTGCAGTAGCATAAACAACCCATATCTTCAAACTGCTTCACTCGTTTATTGATGAGGAAATGCTTTTTTTTTTAGTAAATTTGGCCTGAAAATGTCTTTTAACTGTTATTGATCTTAAGAGAACAAAGAGATATTTCCAAAAGTATTTGCATATTTTAGCATACAAATTCTTTTGGTGATGCTGTTGTTTTGAACTTCATCAATATTCATTATTTTTTAACATGGTAAAGCATGTGAAAACTGTCTGCCTGAGGGAAGGGATGCTTTGTGAATAACTTTCTAACTGAAACCGGCTCATATTCATTTTACATATGGGAAAAAAACCGATTTGCAAAATAAATTCACATTAGCAGTCACATGTATATTTGCTTTTTCACCCCTCATAATGAACAAAAATATGAAAAAGCAGGAAACAGTATAACTGCAAGAAACAAATTTTTAAATGTAGCAAAAAATTCATAAAAAGAGACAATATCATCAGAACTGCATGAAACTGCGGCTTTCAGATAGGTAGCAGATGCACTTGAATGATGCTATGAGCAAAGTTAATCAAAAATATTCAATAAAACAATGATAAAGAATTAACAAAATTTATTAAGTAAATCAGAATCATTCAGAAGCTTTTCTAAAGAATAATAATAAAAAACTTACCATACGTTCTTCCAATTCGTGAAAACGGGCACATTTCTTAAGATAGTAATTCCAGAAGACAATCAGATAATTTAGAATCTTTTTGGTGCGTTTTGGTTCTACAAAAAAAATTGGACATAATTACATAAAAAATCATGAAATTTGTAATTAAACTAATTCATAATTATGAAAAATCTGCATTGAAGCTTGATATGTCTTAATTGAAGCTTGACAGGTACCAAGAATAACAATATCATGCTAATATAATAACAATATCATACTACAATGCATACAATACGACTAACAGCACAATATGAATAACAATATCATACTACAATCTTTTGCAACAGGCTTTTTTTTTTTTTTTTTTAATTATCTTTGATGCATATCCACTTTTATTTTCCTTGATGGGTTTCTGGCATTTAATGAACAGCAAAATGAAAACTTTCAGTAATCTGCAAAATCCAATTTTTTAACAAAGGAACTATTCTAGGGGTGTATAAAAGGTTTTTGGACGAACTCTGTAGCATGCTAACAAATGGCAGCAGAGGATTGCACTCCTTTAACCCTTAGCTCTCCGTTGGCTCTGCTACGGGGCCATCTGACATTTGTTCCGTGGCTCTGTAGGCTCCACTGCAGAGCCAAATGTTTTTAGCTCCATTGGCTCAGCTATGGGATCATCCAGCATTTGTTCGTTCCATAGCTTCGTAGGCTCTGCAGCGGAGCCAAATGTTTTTAGCATGATTACGCTTAAGATGCCACGGTATCATCATTGTTAGCAATTGTTATCTGTAGTTAAAACGTGCTCAGTCTTTATACTGTTATGATTAAACCATTTTTTAAACTTTCTTATGAAACACGTAGAAAATAATTATTATGATGAGAATTTAGAGTTGAGTGGTTGTGAAGACATGTTTGATTTTCAAGTGTTAAAAGATATTGATCGTTAAAAGACAATGTTGATTATAATTCTGACACTTCAAGTAGTGGTTCCGAAATCATACTACCAAAGACATGATGAATGAGAATTATTGAAAGTGAAGATGAAGATTCGCAGGAAGACTTTGATGTGATACTTGCCCAAGTAAACCCAGGATGCACATGGGAAATTGTTTCCGAAGATATCACACCATGGTGAATTACAAAATTTAAAATTTATCTTTTATTTCCAAGAAGAAAGTGCATATGTATGTATAAAATAAATAAAATAAAAAAAATTCACAAGAACATATAATTCTTCTCATTTAAAATAAGACTGTTTCACTCATTCCGCTGCGAAAATGTGCTGGAGTTGCTGGCAGGCAGTGGTATAAAAATGTGCGGAGCGCTAAGGGTTAATAACACTGAATCTTGATAAAGCAGTATGCCAGGAGACATCACTTGTTAATATTAGGCGTTGTTAAAGTGGTACTTTTATGATCATAAGTGTGTGGTACTTTGCAATAACATCATAGACAGAAAGGTGGGACAATAAGCCAAAGTAAAATTTTGGATCAAACTCAGTAAATTGGCTGTAAAAACAGTGAACATTTATCAGCAAGCTAATACCAGTTGGGTAAAGAGTTGCAAGCAATGTTTTAAGTAAAACAGGCACTTCCAAAGTGAAAGAATATCCCTTGAACAGTATAAATGATATACAAAACCTTCAAATTCATATGATTGCCAAATTTATACTAACTGGTGAATGAATTCCACATTATTCCTATTGTTTCGTGCATTCAGTTGATGCAGTTTTGTCTATCACTACCTGATGAATTTAATTAATCATATTCAACAGAGTTTTGCTTAAAGATGAAATAGGTACATTTGATAGTGCATATTATATTGATTATTATCCAGATTAGATTTAAAAAGGAATAGACATTTTCATTTTATAAAAGGTATAATTAAAAAAAACATGAAGCTAAAGGTTTTTATGTTTTAATAAAAAAGATATTAATGAAATAATTTTTCTATTTTGTTCCTTTGAAATTTTAATAGCATGCCCGCAATATTTAAATTTACATCTTACTTTTTTAAAGGAAAAAAAAATTGTAATTTATTGGACTGTTTGAATTTTTTCAAGCGTGTAGGTTGGCTGACAACCTTCAAGTCATGTATAAATCTTTGTTCAGCATATTTAATTTTAATATGAAAAAGTCAAAATTGCATTAAAAGAAAACATTCTTACTTGGTTCTGTGATATCTTTGATGGTTATACTCAGTCCAAGTGGTTCAGTAATGTAATTTCTAAAAAAGAAAAGGAAAAAAAAAAAAAAATACAGCCAGTTCCATCACAATTAAAACAATTTAATGAAATATAAAAACTAAACAGGAACCCTTAGAATTTCAAAATCATCAAATCAAGCTTTGGTGAAATATAATCTAGTCGGAAATCATTGAAGTACTTTACTAAATACTTGCTATGATCTATAATAAACTAGCATTATGTGGAGACATTTGTACTTATTTAATATAAAGAAAAATCTTTATTCGCGATGCACCTATGCACTTTCCTGCTGGATCCCTTTTGAATGAGGTTTGTAACAAATATTTGCTACAAGGAAAGTGAAAACAATTTTAATTTCACCCGGGATATAAAATTAGTGCAGACACTTCTGTAATGTTAATGAATTAAATAATAAGTAGTATAGCTGTTTTCTAAATCTGAATATAAAAAGGACACTACTTGTATCTCTGCTTTAAAAATAAAGTACTTAGCTAAATTTAAAGAATGCTTGTCGATAAAGATCTATGACCAAACAACTTGCCAACATACCTATCAACACTTTTTTTTTTTTTTTTTTTTTTTGTTGTTGTTTTTTGGAAGCCTTATAGAGAGCATACCTGCTCAGTTTGGACACTTTATTTTATCTATCCAGGTAGTTTCTGCACAATTTATTAAGCTTTATCTAACCACTTATGCAATTTTATTATATCTGCAGTATGTAATATACATTTTTATTTAATTTTTACAATATTTTTTTTAAAATTATAGGTCTGTGCGATTTACCCAGCTATCAATCTGGAACATCTAGATCAGGGGTTGGCAATCCGGTACCTACAATTCAAAGATCTACATTCTTAATTTTAGATATTTGGACAACAAACACTTATAACTGCAGTGAATAATTTTAAGAAAAATTCTCACCTATCCTCACAATTTTAAATTATAAGAAATGTAGAATTAAACTTTTATTAAAAACTGAATCTCAGAGAAATCTAAATAACACTACATAAGTAGATGAATCAATTTTCAACTGATAGAAATATGTTATTCCGCATATAGTGAACCATTTTCTGTGCTTAAAGATGTACTACAGTACAAAGTCTTTAATCCGGACGTCCATAATCCAGAATGATCCATAATCCGGGCCTCAAAGCTACAAACTTTCTGCCGTTATACATTGAACGCGCATGCGTAACGTTTACGCATGCGCAACGTTTACCCATGCGCATTTAATGTATAACGGATGGTATAAGCTAGGCTAAAATTATCTAATGATCTATTTCAGTTAATGTTGCAGATTGCATTGTTCTTTAATCTTCTAACTGGATCCGACTTATTATTATTTGCAGACTGTTAGAGCAATTTTATAAAAAGTAAGCTTGAACTTTCGATTATGTCGAAAAGAGTTTCCGATTCCGATTCTGGAGCTGCAAAAGGATCTACAAAGCGAAAGCACGTTTCGCTTTAAGTGGAATTCCAGCAAAAAATGCATAAAGACATGAAGAAAGTGACAGAGAGGTTAGTGAAAATGAAAAAATTTCGATTCACAAGTTAGTTGGTATTCTTGGCACAGCAATTACTGGACTTGAACAGCTGAACTTTGTAACTGAACAAGAAATTATGTCTGTTTATAGAATTAAAGAGAAAGTATTAGCACATAAAACAAAGCAACTTAAACAACTTACATTGAAAGAAATGTTTAATAAAGTAAACAAATAAATATTAAGCCTTTTTTTTTTGTAAATTTTGATCATAATTGCACTTTATTTCATAAATTATGGTTTCATATTTTTAATTTTATAATTTCTACATGCCATCTTACCAGATTTAAATTGATGATCTATAATCCGGAAAAAAACCCTAATTCGGAATCGCTGAAGTCCCGACAAGTCAGGATTAAAGACTTTGTACTGTACTACTCAGCTTGCCAAACTCCTGCATTTCTGAAAAAAGTTTGTTGACCCTGATTTAAATGATAATGTTATCCCGTTGAACATTCATGAAACACTTAATATTATACAAAATTCAGCTTTAAAAAATTCAGCATTTTATGGAAGTACAATATACATTGATTTACAAAAATTGTGTGTGTTGTTATCAATAAATGTAAACAAACTGTGAGTATGGAAATTGGTTGGTTCACATCATTGCACAATGTACGTATACGTATATATATATTCTAAATAAAAGTAAATTAAAAAGGCTATGACCTGTGCTAAAGCTGCAAGGTACTAAACCAATAATTTGTAATCAGAAAACTTTTTATATACCATCTCCAAGGAACAGAAATTCAACTAAAACCATGAATATAAATTGTTTATTTAGTATTTTAATTATTAATTAGTATTAACTAGACCTTTATATACAGTCAAAAGTCTTTAATCCGGACTCGTCGGGACTTCGGCGATTCCGGATTATAGTCATCAGTTTAAATCTGGAAGATGGCAGGCAGAAAATTAGAAAATTAAAAATTGAACAACCGAATGTAGAAAATAAGAAAATATATGAGCAAAGAGAGCAAATTTGTAAAAAAAAAAAAAAAAAAAAGGCAGCTAATCTTTTTTGCTTACTTTATTAAACATTCTTTCAATGTAAGTTTGTTTTAAGTTGCTTTGTTTTATGTGAGAATAGTTTCTCTTTAATTCTATAAACAGACATAACATAATTTCTTTCTCGTTAAAAAATCGATTTTTTTTGTTTTCAATCCTGCGCTTGCCACTTCGAATCTTTATGCAGACGAGGAAATGATTTAGAAAAATCATATCAAAGACTACATTATCGAGATGAAATAACATTTATAAGGATTAAAAGCCAAAATAAATATAAAAACATCACCCTTTTTAAGGAGTTGCTGACAGATCAACTTTCAATTCATTGCATGCCACGGCGTCTTAAATTCTAAAAAAATTAATAACATTGCCTCAATTAATTATAACAAGCCTTGATGAACTAAACTTGGGTAACTGGAAATGAATGACAAAATGTACAATTTCAAAGCTTTCTTAATGAATTTTTTACTGCTCAAAACCTTTCCTGCTTCCTTCACTTCCTCTTTTTAATTGTTCATTATATTATCAAGTAATAATGATTATGTGAAATTAAACAGCTGTTTTAACAACTAGAATTTAAAATTAAATTTTAGAAATTATTAAGATCAGAGATTATTTTAAAGATCAGAAAGTGCTGAGTTTTTTATTTAGCACTTTTTGATTATCTGCACCTTGGGTTTCAACATTCAATAGAATTGCTATATTTCTGGCATGTATATTCATGTCTAGTGAATTAAGTACGCATGGATTACATATTTTCTGTTTAAATTTTTTTTAAATTTTATGTTAGGGAAGAGTCCAAGACCATAATATCCACTAATTGTAAAAAATAAATATCAAGCTTTACAGACTTTTCTCTTTGCTCAGTAGAATTTTTTTTAATGTTTCTTTTTGTTATTTTATCAACAGAACAGTATCTATGTATCGTTAAGTCAGAGCCCCAAGACAACAGTGAAGCAAGTGGGGTACTTGTCTTAGGTGAGCAACTAGAAAGGGAGCAAATTAATTGCAAACATTTAGAAATTCACTTTAAAAAATAAATTATGATTGTAAACTTTCAGCATTGGAACACATCAAGAATGATCAAAAGAATTTTGCACTATAAATAACCCATCTACTTAAAAGAAAAATTGACAAGATTCATATACTCAAAATTGCAGAGATTTCATAGTACTATACGTACTGTTTTCTAACATATTAAAATTGCTGTAAATGAGCTGCATAGACAAAACTTGATTAGAAAGCACCATGCTCTCAACATTAATAATTCTCTAATAGTAATTCTCTTTAATTTGAAAATTAGCTTTAACCTTGTCATAAAAAGCTTTGAAAAGTCCATTAATTGAGTATGGATGGCAATGTAATTGCATTACAAGCAACATAATTATTGTAGCAGACCTAATTCATAAAAGCCCGATTGGAATAGTACTGGAAGACTAAACAAGGATGTCGGAAAATGAAATGTACAACATTATTAGCCTTTTGCTTCATTTTGTTTTGTGTGTCAGGCAATGTTAGACATGACATACAAATAAAACATATGTTTCGAGGTTTTGTCTTATTATATCCATATTTCATTGGAACTGTACATTCGTTTTTTTATTTAGATCTATTTTACAGAACAGTTATACATATTGTTAAGTAGATTAAATGAATCAATACATTTTTTGTTAAGCATGCCATATAAACTTAATAAGGTAAGACATGATTTTTATTCCAAGTTGTACCTAAAATTTTGATTTTTTTTTTGGGGGGGGAGGATTTAAGACAAACAGTTTTAGCTAATTGAAAGATAGTAACTGATACTGATATAAAGGAAGTTTTCTTAAAATATTTAGTTTTGCTCCATTGATTAAAAGATAAATTTAACACATTGCAGCCTCCTGAGCTAACTAGTGAGAGGAGATAAAAGTAAAAATAAAACACAAAGCACCATACATTTATTAACTTTAAAATTGTGCTTATAATGTAGGAATAAGATGAGAATGACAGTCTATAAAAATACTACCTGCAAATGATCTAATGTATTTTAAAATTAGAATTAGCTGGTAAATAAAATTTTGCTTAAGATCATATAAGCCCTTCATTGACCTTAAACAAAATTTTATTTTACTACTGAAATGGGTGCAAATATGAAAGACTAATTCATTGATTACAGTAAAGCACATAGGATTATTCTGTGTTAGGAGTTATGATTTCTTGAAGGAGATTTGGTAATGATGCAGTATGTGAGTTACTGTGTTTATCTTTGATGGTCCCACTAAATTGTCTTTTTGAAATAAAAAAAGATTAGGAATACATAAATGAAAATGATTCAATTCATAAATTTAACAATCTATTAAATTTCTAATTCCATTAAATTTTACAAAACAAAAGCAGGAATGGCCTAGAGGCATTTTATTTTTTAGTCAGGCCACGGTCAACAAAGCACAATTCCATTGTTAGTATATTAGTAACACCTATAGGATTGT